CCCTGCATCAGGCTCTGCATTGAGGATAGAGTCTGCTTGGGATTCTCTCTCTCTCTCTCTCTCTCTCTGCCTCTCCCCCCACTCACATGTGCATGCTCTCTCTCTCTCTCAAAGTAAACAATATTTAGTAACAAAAATAGAAGCAGAACAAGAAGCCTGTCTATCGGTTCTGAGTCAAACGGGTGACCATCAAGGAGAGCTCTATGCCTCTGCCCTCCTGAGGGAGGCGAAAGGAAGGAGATAAGAGAGCAAAATAGATAAACCCCCATATTGCAAACAAAACACGCAAACAAGCCAGCATTTTCAAACAATTTGAGACCTGTTAAGACATACTTCCTGCCTGGTTTTGTCTTCAAGATGTTGGCATCTTGGTCAGCAAGGGCTCTGTGGGTGTGAACTCAGTGATTTTCAGGATTTAGGGATATCTCCTAGGCATATACTTTACTAGGGGTAATGGGTTGAATTGTGTCAAATTCATAAACTGAAGTCCTAGTGCCACTACCTGAGAATGTGACCTTATTTGGAGGTAGGGTCTTTTTGCGAGAATGAAGTTATAAGGTGTCTTTGGGGTGATCCCTAACCCGATCTGAGTGGCATCTTTATAAGAAGGGGGCACACACAGAGGGAGAAGGCCAAGTGGAGATGAAGTCTGACGTGGAGGTGAGGCAATGAACACCAAAGTATGCCAGGAAACCACTGGAAGCAGGAGAGGGGCCTGGACCAGGTCTTCCCTCGGAGCCTCGGTAGGGATTAGCGCTGGATCTCAGACGTCTGGGCTCCAGAGGTTCAAGACTACCCGTTTCTGTTGTGTTTGCCATCCAGCATCTGGGCGTTTGCTGCGGCGGCTGCGACAAGATAACTCACTGGGCATACAGAGGAGCCAAGTCATACCCGAGGGCGGCCCGTCCTGTCCAGAGCGTACAGTGAGCGACCCCATGAAACACATAGCAATGACAGGAGGCAAATCATGCTCTGAAGATTACCAGAGCAATTCAGAGAAAACAAATGCTGTTGAATTCACAGGACACAAAAGAAGTAGAGACGGACGCCTGAAAGGAGCACCATGCTATCGAGGGAAAGAGCAAGGCAAGCGGTGGGCATGGTCCAGAGCAGGAAAACAGAATCCAGCATTTCGGAGATGAAAGTCAGGGACAAAAGCCAAGGCAAAGCACATCACGTGTCCTCGCAGCCAATGGAAAGAGACTTAAACTGGGTAGAAATGAATCCCCACGTAGGTAAGGAACTTTTGTGTTGTGGAGGAGGGAGGTCATTCGTCACACTTTCCGGGAGGATGTGAATTCGCTCTACATTATATCCTAATTTAAACATCAAAGAAAAGCAAAAATGCCAAATTTCCTTTTGTTATTTCCAAATAAGTCTATAATGAGTGTAAAAATGTGAAAGTACTGTGTGGGGATACCCAGGGGAGTGTCCCTATAGGGGATGACTTTATCATTTACAATCATTGAAGAAAGTGGATTTTATACATAAAGACAAGAACATTTATTGCCATCGGTAGAGCTTATCTAAATTCAAGTACATTCTCAATACTCAATCACAAGTAATGTGAAAAAGCTAACAATTGACTTAGATTTTCTTTAAATATAGCTTTCATCTGTTTTTTTGAGAGTTTTTCCCGTCTGCTGATTTTCTATCAATGGACATGACCGCTTGGGCATTACCTGGTCTGACTGATTACAGTCCATGCCACCCTCCCAACAGCTCATTCAAATCTTTTACGGCGCAGAATATAACATCACTGTAGTTTTATTTTCCTCTAAGGAAATTCCCAATATGTAAGTCTCAGTATCAGAGGTAGTAAGAAAAGCCAACAGGGTAAGGCCGCAATGGAAATTTGACTCATCCCGAAACTTTACAAGTTGTAATATGCCACGAAAATGGTTAGTTGTCCCTAATGCTTGGCAAGCTTTCTTTAGATATCTTCTGATTGTGAAATACACCGCAAATACTCCACTGTTCTTTAAACGCCTTGGTTTGCTGGGACCAGTGGGCGCCTGAGATGGCACCTGTAGTTGGTGTTCACCACAGGTACACTTTTGTTACTGTCTTGTGTACCTCCATCTGCACGGGGAAGAAAGGGCCATGTGTGCTAATTAAGGATATCCGTTGTATTCTTTCACTTATTGAGTTAAGAGTGCAAAGCAAGTAATTCTATTGCTATTGCAGTAATTATATATATAGAAAGGCTGATGTCATATTTTAAAATAGGCATTGGAGTAAGTGGATAGAGATTTGATAAAATAAGAATGTGCTTACGGTGTGCTCTTGGTTTTGGGGATAGATTCCTGTGGCTCATCGCTTACATACAACACCCAGTGCTCATCCCAGCAAGTACCTTCCCCAACGTCCACCCATTTTCCCTCCCCTCCATCAACCACCAGTTTGTTCTCTGTATTTAAGAGTCTCTCATGGTTTGCCCCTCTGTCTGTTTGTAACTATTTCCCCCTACCCTTCCCCCATGGTCTTCTGTTAAGTTTCTGAAGATCCACATATGAGTGAAAACATATGATAAATGTCTTTCTCTGACTGACTTATTTCACTTAGCACAATACCCTCCAGCTCCATCCATGTTGTTGCAAATGGCTGGGTATCATTCCTTTTCATCGCCGAGTAGAATTTCATCGTATATATAAACCACATCTTTATCCGTTCATCAGTGTACGGATATTTGAGCTCTTTCCATAACTTGGTATTGTTGAAAGCAGTGCTATAAATAGCTAACTTGACAATAAATTGTATTTAGGAAAAAAATAAAGAATATGGGGGTTCTTTAGGGTAATGGAAATGTTCTAAAATTGACTATAGGTTGCACAACTCTGCATATACTGAAATCACTGAATATTACACTTCATGTGGGTGGATTGTATGGTGTGTGAACAATAAATCAGTAAAGCTGTCGTAAAATATTAAAAAGAGTAAGAATCTGCTTATTTTGCATGTAGATCCTCAAACTAATGAAATCAGCATATAATTGTCTGTAGGAGGCATCCCGTACCATTGAGAAGACGGATAGCAAGTTATCACCTGTTCAGAACTGGTTTTCCCCAATCTGTAGGTCTCCATTTTGGCCATATCCACTACGTCTGTCAATATTTGCCTACAGTTCCGTAGGAATATGTGGCTTGATACAAATTAAAGAGGGACACGGTTCATCATGGTGAGTACCATGTTACTGCCCACCTTTGCCTCAGGACACATGACATAGTTTATTTCACTCCTCTCCTAGTTTTATTGAAATGTAGTTGATGGGTAAAAGGGCGTATATTTATATGATCTTACTCACACGTGGAGTTGAAGAAAGAAAACAACTGAACAAAGGAAAAGAGAAACAAAAAGGCAGACTCTACTGTAGAGACCACACTGATGGTCACCAGAGGGGAGGTGGGGGGAGGAAGCAGGGGAGGGGGAATAAGGGCACACTTACCATGACGAGGACTGATGATGTATAGAACTGTTGAATCACGTCACTGTGCACCTGAAGCTAATATAACACTGCCTGTTAACTATGCTGGAATTAATTTTTTTAAGAAAGCAGGAGAAATGAAAACAAAAGTGTATATTTAAGGCATATAGCATGATGATTTCACATACGTGTACATTGTAAAATGATTACCATAGTCATTAGTTAATTAATGATTAATTAACTGAATAAGGTATCCATCACCTCACACGGTTACCTTACGTTTGCGTGTGTGTGGTAAGAACATTTAAAATTTACCCTCTTGTGGGCGCCTGGGTGGCTCAGTCGGTTGGGCCACTGACTTCGGCTCAGGTCATGATCTCACGGTTTGTGGGTTCGAGCCCCGCGTCGGGCTCTGTGCTGACTGCCAGCTCAGACCCTGGAGCCAGTCTTCGGATTCTGTGTCTCCCTCTCTCTCTGACCCTCCCCTGCTCATGCTGTCTCTCTCTCTCTCAAAAAAAAAAAAAAAACATTTAAAAAATTTTTTAAAAATGTACCCTCTTGGCAGATTTTAGTTTATACAAAACAGCATTATTAACCCCAGCCACCGTGCCATACACCAGATCTCCAGAATTCACTCATCTTATAGCTGAAAGTTTGTAGCTTTGAACAACATCCTCCCATTTCTCCACAGCCAGACCCTGATACCCACCACTCTGCTCTCTGCTTCTAGGAATTTCAAACTCCACATGTAAGTGGGAACCTATAATATCTGCCTTGCTGCATCTGGCTTATTTCACTCAGCACACCGTCCTCTGGGTTCATCCAGGTCATTCCAAATGGCAAAAGTTCCTTCTCTTTATATGGCGGAAGTAGAATTCCATTGCATGGAAATGCACATTTTCTGCAGCCCTCCGTCCATCAGTGGAAACTTGGCCTTCCCCCGTAGCCTTAGCTATTACGGATGATGCTGCAACGAACACGGGAATGTAGAGAACTCTTCAAGATAGTGGTTTCAGTTCCTCTGCATGTACATCAAGGATTGGGATTGCCTCACCCTATGGGAGTTCTGTTTTAATTTCTTGAGGAACTTCCGTAATGTTTTCCATAACCTCTGTACCAGTTTACATTTTCACCAGTAGTGGATTCCCTTTTCCCCACATTGTTTATTTATTTATTTATTTATTTATTTATTTATTTATTGAGAGAGAGAGAGAGAGAGAGACACTCCCAAGCAGGCTCCATGCTGTTAGCGTGGGCCCCACGTGTGGCTTAAACTCACGAACCACAAGATGGTGACCTGAGCTGAAATCAAGAGTCAGATACTTAATCGACTGAGCCCCCCAGGCTAATAGTCTAACCGGTGTCGTTTTGATTTGCATTTCCTTGATGATCAGGGGTGCTGAGGATTTTTCATTTACCTTATGACCATTTGTACTTTTTTATTTACCTCCTGACCATTTGTGTTCTTTGGAAAGAAATGTGTATTCCACTCCCTTAACTACTTTTTAATAGGGTTATTTAGTTAGTTAGTTAGTTAACTATAGCTCAGTAGCTTATAACTCGAAAAGTGTTCTTTATATGCTATGAAAATCAGTGCCTTCCTTCTCCAGCATATAACTTGCAAATATTTTCTCCCATTCTGTAGATGGTCTTTTCATTCATGCTTTTGTCCCCCAGAAGAAATGTTTCAGTTTGATGACGTCCCACGTGTTTAGTTTGGCTTTTGCTGCCTGGCCACTTGGTGTCCTGTGATGTGGTATTTTGAACACGGAGACTAAGCAACTCCCGGCCGTTCTGGAGCTCTGCCGGAGGACTCCAGGCTCCGCTCGACGGACAGCAGAGATGGTCGTGCAGGTAACCTTCTGACATTTGACTTTGGCCCAGGAGCGGTTTCCACGTGATCCCGGCTCCCTGCCCGTCACCCCTCATGGTCGCTAATGTAGGAACAGCTTATCTGAAAGGAATCAGGCCTTACCTGGAATTCGGAAATAGCCCTTAAATCCAGCCACTTTCTTCTCTTATATTTTTGTGAGACAAGGTTGTTGCAAGTGGGGTGACATAATCAGTCCCAGCTCATACGAATGCGAAGGGGCAGCTGCAAATGTAATGTTAACATATTCTAAAGAGAGGTTTCTCAACACTTTGGGGAAGACAGCCCCCATCAGTAAAGAGCTTTTGATCATAAATATCCAAAGACAGTAATTGTCTTTCTTTGTAAATCGTAGAGATGGAAATCTTCTAATATATCTTAAGCATTTAAAAAGATATACCAAGGGTCCCCTGGGTGGCTCAGTTGGCTGAACGTCCGACTTCAGCTGAGGTCGTGATCTCATGGTTCGTGGGTCTGAACCTTGCATAGGGCTCTGTGCTGACAGCTCAGAGCCTGGAGCCTGCTTCGGGTTCTGTGTCTCCCTCTCTCTGCCCCCTGCTCACACTCTGTTTCTCTCTCTCTCTCTCTCAAAAATAAACATTTAAAAAATTGGAAAGGATATACAGAAACATCAAATTAAAATACGAATCAGATAAGCATAAATGTGAAGGGAAGTTCACATCCATGAACATATATCTGTGCAGGCACATACCCCATTGGTGAGGCCCCAGAGCTAATAAGAGAGCCAAGGGCTTCAGTGAGGTGCTTAAGGGGAAAATGAAACAGCCTTTCCCTTCTTTATGACCCTCATCTGAGTGGGGATGTTTCTTCTACTACCCTAGTAAAGCCACACTGGATAAGAGCAACTTTTAAATATTCATTAGTATGATTCATTGTAATGTCTTTGCGTTTGAAATCACGAAGGATGAATTATTTTCTTCTAGGTAGAGCGCAGCTACAAGATGCTTGCCGTAATCACACAGGAAAGCAATGGATTTTGCACTGGGTGCATCAGTGAGATCCCGGACATATGATCGCCTGTAAATCTTCTCTGTGGAGAGAAGATGGGGACTAAGGCTTATTGATTACCTGCCGCGTGCCAGGTACGATGCTAGATGGCTTAAATATGTTCAAAGAGATAGGGCTGTGCAGCTTTTCCCTGAAATGTTTGGTACGTAGCACATGCTATTATGTGTGTGTCTCACGTAATTGCCAAAGCTATGCAGACGATTAGGCATCAGCATCCTTCCTGCGTACGAGGATGAGAGAAGTTTAGCGCCGTGGCCATGGTCACACCCAGCAGAAGGTGGGAGAGGCCTTCCCGATCCCACGACTACTTTCCCTGGGCTTTTGTCTTTGTTTTTTGTTTTTTGATATTTTCACTCCCGTCACTGTGATGGACCTTATCAGTTTTGTCACATCATCTGGACAAGATGATAGAGGCCATTCGTGTGGCCGCATCCGCAAAACGGGTCCCTTGAGTCCCTGGTGGGTCTGGGGGCACAACCACGAGGCAGGCACTATGATTACATCCAAGCGTCCAAAATACGCTTTAGAATAACTTACCCTCATGTTCCTGTTTGCGTTGTGGCCACCAATGTGCTTACGACGATTATGTTTCGAGACCCTCCAGGAGAAAGGATTTACGTGTGTTCTGTCGACGCAACCTGTATTAGTTCTCCGTCTACGCGCACTCTCACCCGTCAGGTGCAGGCACACATACCAGCTACCTGTTGTCTAGGCAGAGGACTCTCTGACCCGGCGTGTCAAAGTGCTGTGTACACCAGGTGAGAGTTCCCCCTTTTATCGTGTTTCCAAGGCCTTTTCTGTGTTATGAGAGAAACGTGAAAACCGTGATTGAACCGAATGAGCGTGTAACCTTCTGTGAAGTGGGTAGACCAGCTGAACAATCTCCTTTCGGTTGTTGTTTCCTTTTTTTTTTTTTTTTTTTTTACCCATGAAGAACAGAGCAAGGATAATATACGACTATGGACTCAACACCCGTGTCCCGAAGCCCTAGCCTACAGCGGGTCTGTACCTGGGGTGAGTTAGGTCAAACGAGGCAGGAGAACGGGGCCCTGATAAGACAGGAGGAGGAGCAGAGACCCCTCCCCGGCCCGGCGAGAAGGCGGTTGCTGCGACCCAGGCAGACAGCGGTGGCCCGGCACCGGGGCTGCACCCCGCCGGCACCTTGCTGCCGCACCTCCAGCCCCCGGAGCTGCGAGGAATGAGCGCCTGTTGTTTATAAAGCACCTCGTCTGTGGTATTTGGGGACTGCAGGCTGAGCTCACGAACACCCTTGTGCATAAAGCCCCCCGACATCTCCCACCCTACATCTGCTCGTGTTTATGCTTAGATATCCCAGCAGACCTCACTTAAAAGCATAAGTTCAAAGACAAAATAATTAAGAATTCAGCACGGCAACAGCGGAGCATGAACAAACCCCCCGGGCTGGGGGTCCCCTGTGATTTCACGGGCCTCCCTGCTGCAGACCCGACCCTGACTCTCAGCCGCTCGTGGGTGTCCACGGCGCAAACACGTGGCCTTGCCTAGTCTCATTCGTCCCCGCCGAGACGTGCTCCTGGCCGTGGTGGGTGTGCCGCACACGTCTGATGTCTACGATCCGTGGTCACATGTATCTGACTCTCAGCTCGGCTTTAAAGAGGTTCTCTGATTAAAAACGACTATTTTTAGTGGTTGTTTCATAATTCTCTATTTATTGAGAAAGTCACCAGAGAATCACAGACGTATAGAGCTGGAAGGAATTTTCTTTCTGACGGTTTTGGAGCTTGCTTTTGTTTTCTATTTTTTTGAGAGCAGCAGAGATGATCCTTCAAGGGACAGTTTAAAGGGGGCAGCTTGTGAGGTGTCACAAAACCCCGCCCCCCCTGCCCCCACCTCCCCAGAGCTCTCCTTCCCTGAAACATAATTTACAAACCAAAGATCTGGTCCCAAGTGCTTATCTAAAATCTTTATTTATTTGTTGCACTCTTAGGGATCTTCAAAAATGACAGAATTCCAAATTAAAATGAACAAAACAGAGGCATTCATCTTAGGGTTTTAAAAAATGCCAGGTTACATCGCCATGTTTGCACACGGATACTAGTCTGCTCCCTTCTCAAGAACGGGGGAAGACAGCTGAGGAGCGGACGTGCCCCTCGGCCCCAGGACTCTCATGTCAGGCTCTGCCTGAGCTCTCCCGCCGTGGGCAGCGCGGGTTCACTACATCCCAAGGGGACCTGGCCGCTGTCCCGCTTTGCCCCAGGCCTGTACCTGCCCCCCGTGCCCCCCTTTGGTGGTTGTTTCAGTTGTGTTACTACAGCGCCCCTGTCACTGGCAACCCTCGCCTGTTAAAGGAGATCAGATCAGGTTTCGAATATTCATGACCCAGCAAACTCCTCAGATCACGGCCAGAGAGTCCTGTTGTCTCTAATGTATTCTACTGTAGTGTGGTACCCTAGCGCTTTTTAACTTGATGGCCCCACTCATGCCGCAGCGGGGGGGGGGGGGGGGGGGCATTTCCTGGGCGCGGAGCAGTCTAATCAGTGTCAGGGGAATTGCAAAGGTGAGTAAGACATGGCCATTACCTTCCATCAGGGCGCGAGGTCGCAGGGGATCCCTCACAAATGGAGCAAGAGTGTCTTCCAATTACGGCTTCCGATGGTCATCTCATTAACAAAAAACTAATTTTCTTTTAATAGCCCAATTAAAAAAATTTTTGTGGGGATTTAAATATTATGTACAGGGCTTTACAAAGTATTATTTTAAGCCTCAAAATGTAGTAAGTTCAACATATGCTTTCTGCAGTTTTTTCCCCATTTTAACATTTTTAGGAAAAAGGAAAAAGCCTTTAGGAAAAAGGCTTTTCAAATGCTATTAGAGTAAAGTTGAGTCAAAAATCAAAAACAGTTTTCAATGAATTTTATCAGTAAGTAAAATTAGGTCACAAAAAAATAAAAGAAAATAAGATTATCATCTGGACAGTTGATGAGAAAAGAGAAACTAACAGAAGATTATAGAAACCGCGGTGAAGGTTTTGAAAACTTAGCGTAAAAGTCTTACCAGGAGACAGAAAATATAGAACTATGCTTGTTTTACCAAAAAAAAAAAAAAAAGAAAGAAAGAAAGAAAGAAAGAAAGAAAGAAAGAAAAGAAATCCTCCTCCCTCCACCTCCTCACTCTCTATTCTTCTTAGAATTCATATGTTAAGTTTACACGGTTCCCCTTTCAGTATCTTTATTTACAACACTGTCACTGTTTCCATAGTTATGCAGAATGTCTGTTTCCATAGCAACACCCTTGGTTTCCTAAACAAATAGTATCGCAGTGTTAATCTTGTTTCAGTGTTATTGTACTATGTTATTAGATACAAAATTCAAAAAATAATTTAAGCAGGGTTTGGAACTAGGTGGGTTGGCTTTATTGCTCCGTGCTTTCGATATTAAATTTCAATTTCGTATTAAAATGCACATCCATTTGAAAAATAGTGGGAATTTTGCATAGCAAACATGATACCAATTTTATTCACTAGTTATAAAACACCCTAATTTAATAAGAGGATGTTCCGATGCAAGAGCACATACGGGGAGAGGTTTACCATCTTTGGATCAACGTGCCGGTGTTTCACTTGGCCTGGAAGATTTAGCTTCCCGAAAGCTCTGAAGTCATTTATAACCTACCCACGGCAATATTTCCCTTTGCCACTTTTGCATTTTAAGTAATGTCTCTGCGTTTTGCCTTTTATTTTGTGGCCCCAGAGGAACAGCTGTGAAATAGACTTCAAGGGAATTTTATTACTCCCTTTTTCTCCGGTTCAAAAAGAGAGAGAGAGAGAGAGAAATTAGTAGTTTTTGTGCTTTGGTCTTTAACTTTGCTTACCGTTACTCTTCATTTCTTCTCTAGGGAGCAAATTGTTTGGACTCTTTCTGAAATGGGACTCAGCCCAGCACCGCACACACAGTTTTATTAGGGAGCACTGAGGAAGAAGATTGCCAGTGTGTGCGACGGAGACGGCCAGGGTGGGGGGGTTACTTTTATTTAACAGAAGTAAGAGGTGCTCTGGCCCAGGCCCCCGGCACTGCCATTTCCGGTCAGATGTTTGGAAGAGGCCTGCTGGGCTGTGCAGGTCTGCGTCTCCGTGCACTCCCTGCACTCGGTCCCATTCAACCAGGAGCCTCAGACGTCTGCCTCTCACTTTCCCTTTGAGCACGCCTTCCTTTAAGAACCTACTTGAAGGACTTCCTCTTCCCGACGTTGGCATGAGAAGGAATTGATAAGGGGAGAGCGGATCATAATCTGCAAATGGGAGTTAGTCTGCTTTGCTTTGAGGACTCGGTGATGAACCAGAGCTGGGGTCAGGACCTGGTCCTGGGGCGCCAGGCTGAGCATCTCACTCAGCTCCGTGTCTTCTGGCTGCGTGCCGTGCCGTGTGGTCCCCGTCACTCGGCTTCTCTGCACCCTGCCTTCCTCACCTATGAAATCCGGAAAACACCACCCAGTCTGCAGCCTCGTGGGAGATTAGAGACACAGCAGAGAAACACATAGGAACCCCTGCTAAGTGGGAGCCCTTGTCACGTGATTTCCCCTTCTTTTTTATTTGCTAATTTGAAGTTTGGGGTCAGAGGCCGTCTGGTTGTCTGTAATGCCACAGGGAGAGGTCCAGGTGACCCAGCACTGGCCACAGGCTCTCTCCCTGCCTCCGTCCTGTCTCCAGACTCCCCAGAGCACGTAGCTTTAGGTCTTCAGCTCAGAGCAGGTAAACTTTCAGCCTTCCCAGAGCTGCATCATCAGGGTGGGGGTGGGGAGGTCCCCTCGATGAGCGCCAGACTCGTAGTATGGAATGTCCCAGAGAAGAGGTCCTTCCTGACCTCCACCCCTGCAGCGAATCTACCCCGGTGTCCCTCAGCCTCCAGGGACAGCAGTCATCTGGGGAGCTTGCTGAAATGCAGACTTTGGGTAAGAGGATCTGGGTGGGGCGTCCACGTGGCTGACAAGCTGTCAGGTGACACGCAGCCTGCTGGTCCAGGGGACTCGTTGTGAATGAGAAAGTTCTAAACTCCCCACATCAGAGATTTTCTCAAATTTGTTAAGACCCCTGTTAGGGGCCAGTTCCTGTAACATTGGGCCCTCAAACGACTTTGGCTTGGGCCCTTTTGGAGTTCTTTTTCTGGGACAGGATCCAAACCATCCATTTTCATTGACCTCGGCTTCATTGTAAGATGGAGAGGCTGGAAACTCCTGGGTCGTTTTCAGGGATGGAACGCGGCACACTTCCTTCCTTCCGAAGTGGGACAGATCAGGGAAGATGCACACTTGCATCAGTACCAATTGTCATCAGCCGAATTCTATTCAGTGGATTTGAATCTTCTATGAGCTTAAGGATCCGCATGATTCAGTTGTATTAAGAAAAATGCATAACATCTATCAGAACTGATTGTCAGAAATAGTTTAACACCCTGATCGGAAAATCAGGGATTTGTTTATGAGTGAGTTCAGAAGCTTGCTGTCTTATGTAATCATCAAAAATTACAATGGGGCGCCTGGATGGCTCAGTCGATTAAGCGTCCAACTTCTGATCAGGTCATGATCTCACTGCGAGCTTGAGCCCCGCGTCAGGCTCTGTGCTGACGGCTCTGAGCCTGGAGCTGCTTCAGTTTCTGTGTCTCCCTCTCTCTCTGTCCCTCCCCTGTTCACGCCCTGTCTCTCTCAAAAAATAATTAAAAAACATTTAAAAAATACAATATAACTAATGTTTCAGAATTGTCTGAGAAAGCGTGTTCTCATTTCTTTCTGTTACGCTGAAGTTCAGCAAGTTAAGTTTTCTTAGATAATGTTGTGTTTGGTTTCTGTTCTCTTCTCCTTCAGAGCCCTGCTGGCATCTTATTTGTTGTACGTTAATGGCAATATTTCTTGAAAATGAACCTTTTCATGGTATTTTGCTCTTCTCTGAGATTATATTTTAAAGGAAATTGTATCTGAAAGGTCTAAAAAAAACCCACCAGGGCTTTCTAGGGGATTTTATCACTTGTGTTTTCCTTGCTCATGATCTCATTGTCAAGGACTGTATACGCTTCTAAGAAGCAGTGGATTGTGGTTTCTAACAAATGGATGCAAACAGAATTATTTTCATTTTTATTCATCTGCCAAATATATTCACTCAACTGGCATTGACCTCATAGTAAATCATGACGAATCTATTTGGCCTTCTCAAAAATAAGAATACAATTGTAACTAAATCAATTCCCTTCGGGAAAGAAGGCAGCCAGTTTTCTCACAGTGGCTGGCTTGCCCTGGCAAACACTCCAATTGTCAATGAAAAAAGTCACATCAACATATAAAAACTGTGGATGAAGACAGTATCATACTCACACAGTGAGGGGCGGAAGGGCTCATGAAAATTAAGCACTTACTACCCGCCACATACCAAATGTTCAATAAGCATTACTTATCGCCACTATTCCTAACTCATCTCATTATTTAATCTCGTCTCCTTGTTTAGAACCAGGAGAGCTGTGGCAGTCCACGCTGTCCCCGGCTCTTTATGCGTATGTTATGAATGTATGTATGTGTACATGATTTGTTTTCTATGAAGGAGGACCCTTTCGTAGATGATGATTTCTGATAGTTGTGGAAAACCTGACACATTTCAGAGGAAGGAACTAAGGCAAATATTCTCTGAAAGTCTACAATTACTGTAAGTTGAACATCCAATCCAAACTGATTACTTTGGGTTGTCTGCTCATAGACTGTCATGTGGAAGATCGTGATTTAGAAAGAAACTTTTTCAAATGAAAGAGTAGCGTATCTCAATGGAGAAAATATTAATCTACGCCCCTAACACACACACATGCACGCACGCACGCACACGCACGTGCAAATGTATATACTTCGAGGAGGAAGGCATGTCCGCTTTTCCTCTACGTGCAGTGATTAAAAATTAATCTTATCCAGCTGGGTGACTGCTTCTGCTATAAGATACTGACATGAAAGTACTGCTTTTGCAGAACAGAGAGGGAGGAAAACAGTGCACCGTTGGAGGCAAAGTCAGTCTCCCATTCCAAAGCACCAGAATCAAGCATCCCGTCCAATGAATGGTTTCCACTTCCGGGGGCCATTAAGTCATTCTCTTAGGATTGTTCTGGGTAATCACGAGGGGGTGTGCACAAGGAAATTCTCCATTACTTCATGGGGCTTTTCCGTAGTTTCTTTATGCAAGGTGATGCTCACAGTATTGTCCTTGCATAAAGAGGCATCATGATAGACACCAGGTTTGCTAAAAATGCACGGCGGTAGTGGAGGGAGAGCCTCGGGGGACCCAGTGGAAGGAATAGCGGCTGGAAGCTCCCAGGAAAATGATTAAGGACAGTAACTCAGCTGTCCGGTGCCTGGGTTCACATCCGGGCTCAACCCTTCACGTATAACTTAGAGAAAATTCCCTAGCTTCTCTGTGCCTCAGATTATTTACTCATCTTTGCAATCAGGATGTAATGGTACCCATTCCAAAAGGCTATTGTAGGAATGAGCATTACAGAGTACACAAAGTGATTTGAGCAGTGCCTTATGCACAGTAATCAACACGTTAGTAATTATTGGAAAGTGAATCATATTTGCTATAACTGCCATTAAGTCCATTAGTCATACTTCAGCTCAGGTCATGATCTCAAGGCTTGTGAGTTCAAGTCCCAAGTCAGGCTCTGGGCTGTCAGCTCAGAGCCTGGAGCCTGCTTCGGATTCTGTGTCTCCCTCTCTCTCTGCCCTTTCCCTGCTCATACCCTGTCTCTCTCCATCTCTCAAAAATGAATAAATATTAAAGAAAAAAAATTAAAACGAAAGACCATTAGCCATATACAACAGTTTTATGACCTGCTTCCTATTTTGCCAAAGCTGATTATAAACTTATTACAGTTTGGTCGTGTAATGTTGGCAAACATTTAGCCAGCCTGAAGCTTCTAAGTCACGTGAAGATCTCAAATTCTAGAAAGAACTCAGTAATCAGCCAGATACTGTTCGTTCAGAAAGGTTGTGAAGGTCAGGAGTGTTAAGATAAAGTCCAGATGGCTTGGACATTCAACAATTCTTAAACTCTGGGTTTAACTATATCAACAGAATTACAATAGTAACTAATTAACCAACAGTTTTAGCCAAGTTGGCCACCATAAATACCACAGACAGAACAGCTTCAACAACACACTGATTTTCTCACAGTCCTGGAGGCTGAAGTCCAAGACCAGGGCACGGGCCGATTCGGAGTCCGGTGAGGGCCCGTTGCCTGCTTCTCAGATGGCGTCTTCTGGCCTTTCTCCCGCGAGTGCTTGGAAAGGGGTAGCGTGAGCACGGGTCTACTCTCCTCTTCTCACAAGGCCACGAATCCCGTTGGAAGAGGGCCCTGCCCATGCCCCTCATTGAACTTGGCTTCCGTCAAGACCCCATCTCCAAATGCCAGCATAGGGCAGGGTAGGGCTTCACCAAACCAGTTTTGGGGAGACACAAACATTCAGTCCCTGGAGCCAGCCCAGAGGTGTGTTTCTTGTGTGGACATCTTGTAAATCTAGAATAACATGAGGGCGTTTCTGTCCAATGCACCTTCTCAGGATGCACCTTCCCATCCGTGGCCCCGTGGCACCCCCACCCCGGCTTTCTCCCTGTCTGTGGTCCTGCTATGTGGCAGGCGGAGCCTTTTGGCTCTCTGTGGCTTTTGTCTGTTCTTCTGTCTGAGAACTTTTAACACTTAATTTTTTAAAAATTTTTGTTTATTTTAGAGAGAGAAGACAGAGCATGAGTGGGGGAGGGGCAGAGAGGGGGCGGGGGAGACACAGAATCTGAAGCAGCTCCAGGCTCTAAGCTGTCAGCACAGAGCTTGATGCGGGGCTCGAACCCACGAACCATGAGATCATGACCTGAGCCGAAGTCGGATGCCTACCTGAGCCCCCCAGGCACCGTGTTTCTCAGTTTTGAGGGCCCCACTCTTCCCCTTCCTCCTGGAGAGGGACCCCCACTCTTCGAGCAGCTGCATGTGAGTTTGGTGTCAGCCTCTGTCTAAGGTTCCCACCGTGTGCTTGAGGTCCTTAGGCCGAGAAGTGCCAAGCTGTGGGGACACTAATCCCATGCGGTTTGGACGCCAAAGGAAGCTGACTAGGAGGCAGAAGTGCCTAGTAGGGGTGAGTGAGGCAGGCGGGCAGGGGGGAGGTGAACCCTAATGCTGTTGGGGCAGAGGGCTCAGCGCATCCCCCAGGCTGCTGGGCAACCGGCGTGCTGCCTCAGAGCCGTTCCCAGACAGACTCAGGGCGCACAAACTCGTGGCCTGCATGGGCCACACACTGGGCCCCGGTCACTCCCGGGGACTGGCTGTAACCTGGGGCCCGTGGACTCCCACCAGCACAGAGCCATCCCCAGGGGCTCAGCTGTGAACCCTCAGCAGGAACCTCCCTGCGCAGGGCGGGCGGGGGGGCGGGGGGTGGTACCCAGTGGCAGCTGGGCTGTGCAGCCGGCACCCGCTCACGGGAACTCGGTCAGATCTGCACACTGTGCGGTGGACTTCAGTGGTCGGCCAGGTTTGTGGCCCTGCACTTTGCAAAGCTGTTGATTATGGACGATCTTCGGGAAACATTTTGTGCATGAATCATGAGAAGTGGGGCCCGCTTCTCAAACAATGGCTTTTCTGTAGAGGAAGAGAAGTTCTCAGGGTCACTGTGAAGGACCCACTCCGAGGGAGAGAGCACTCCCGGTGTGCGGACAGACAGCGGACAGCGAGCATTTACCGTGAAGAGCTGCTAACTACAGGGAAGGTGGCTGACGGCCCAAGTGAGAGAGAAAAGTAACTGAGGTCCCGGTCAGGACCAGTCCCATCCCCGGGGCCGAAGGAATGAGGCGAAGGGCCCAGGGCGTGGGGGGCTCCTGGGGCCAGGACGCAGGTCTCTGCAAGGGCAGTGAGCGCAGCGGGCGTCACGCAGTCAGGATGTCTGGGCACTAGAAGACGGCGGGCGGCCACAGCTGCTCGGGAGGAGGCAGCGTCCCTGCAGTCACAGCGGCTGAGGCGTCAGGCCCAGGAGGCCCGGAGGTGCTCACACACAGCAAGGACGGGGGCCGGGCCTCCTTCCCCAAGTCCCCGCTCCAGCTGGCGCCTCTCCGCCAGGCGGGCCCAGCATAGCGAGCCGGGGGCCCGGGGAGCAGAGCCGAGAGGCAAGGTGACGGCCCACCTGGTTGTGAATGTTTCCCCGGGAGCCAAGTCAGCAGACGCCCTGCCTCGCCCTCCCTGAACGAAAATCATAAGGACCAGTCACCGGGCACGCTTTGAATCCCGCGGCTCCTTTCGGACAAAATGACTGATGGTGTGTTAGATGTCCCTGATGTTAAGTAAGAAATAGGATAGTCTTTTCACACGAAAGGCAGTTTATTAACACTGTTTTGACGGAGGGGTGTAGCCTTGGTCTATGGGTTAGAGAGATTGACGAGGGGTTTAACTTTGAGGATGCAAGGGATGGTTTTAGATGTATTTTTTTCAATTCACAGTAAGTTCTTGATGATATTTTAAGTTTACTTATTTATTTATTTTGAGAGAGAGAACACAAGTGAGAGTGAGGGAGGGACAGAGAGAGAGAGAGAAT